TGCGCTTGGGGCCCTGTTCGCAGCGCACCACGCTTTCAAACAGGAGAGGAGAGAAAGGCGGTGCGCGTTGGTCGAGAGCGGGGACACCCAGCGCTCCATCACGGCTACGCGTTGAAATGAATGACGTTGGTACAACATAATGTATTTCTGTTTCCCCCCCACCCACCCTCCTCCCCAATCCTTCGTTATGTCTTGTGTCCTCTCACCGTTTGTGATAGCTAGTGTTGTCTGGTGGTGGTCGTAGTTGTGCGGATACAGATCTGTGATGCTCCTTCCCCTTTTCTGTGGTGACTGGAAATTCATATTCCCCGCATACAGCCTAAACATGTCCCCCCACGTCGATCTCTCCCTCTCCTCCATGTTGTATTCTGTGGATTATGCGCATTGGTGCATTTTTATTCTATAATAATTGGATTTTTCAGATGAAATATTAATCTGATGGTGTGTTTTTCTTAAACCACAGCCTACTGCTGCGTCAGGACTTGTTTTTCTATTGTGATCCAGTGTAGCCACATCCACAATATGGCAGCTAATAGCTGTGCAGTGATCTCTCCACAGAAGTTAATGTGATATTTGGAGCAAATAGCGGTGCAAGTGAGAGCTTTGTGCTGCTGATCAGAGACTCTGGAGCATCATTGTAATCTCAGCTGAACAGTAACCAACAGCAGGCAGGCTTAGGCCTAATAAAGGAGGGCCTCCATCACTTCAGGTTTCCCCCATTTTAGATTCAGCTGAACTCAGCTCCCATTTCATAGCCCCCAAAATCCACAATTCTCCTGTCTGCAAAAACAAATGTAAGTGTGGCATCTGATGAACACGTATTATTACACCTGGTCACTAAATAGCGACTTATAAAAAATGTATCATATCTGGATATTTCTTTCAGATGAAGTGTCCTGCAAGTGAAAAGGCTTGTCAGGTGGAGATGATGGGAAAAAAGGCCCTTTTTCCTTTTCTTTCAAACGCAGTGGCATAGTCTAATAAAGGATTGGAGGCAGGTGTCATGAATGTTGAATGAATGTCAGAAATAGATATGCTAAAAGCCTATCCCAGAGCCGTCCATGACAGTCCTATTAATAGGGACGCGAGGCTGGCGAGGTTCTTTTTTTTTTTTTTTTTTTGAGGATACTGTATGTGCTCTCACACACTCAAGGCTAAGTGCAGTGTGTTTTCTGTGCGTATGAAGTTAAGTGGTAAATGCTGTACTGTAGGTGTAGAAAGAACTGTTTGGCAGCCATGTATTATGAACAGAGATACCTCCATCACATGCCTTGGCATGTGGGTTGGTGTTTGCATCGCTGTGGTTCAGCGCATAAACATCCTCCCGAGCGGAGACCCCACAGGACTGTCAACATATAGACCATCATAATGTCACAAGATCAAAATGCACACTGCGGTGGTTGTGGCTGGCAGGGCTAGCAGCAACGATAAGACTGAGCTACTTACAGATGTGTGTTCACGTGTGAACATGTTAAGCAGTGTGTGAGAGGTAGTTCTTGAGTGGGTGTTATCTGTTGTTCCTCTTTGAATCGGAGTCCTGCACACATCCCAAGTGTTCACACATTTGTAATTCCTCCAAGGCAGGTGCCTTCTAATAGAGTTCTGTTAAATGCTGTGCAGTCAGAAGTGTCAATGTGCAGATGGTGTGTGCGAGCGAGACAACAGTGTGTGTGTGTGTGTGTGTGTGTGTGTGTGTGTGTGTGTGTGTGTATTTCTCACCAGTTTTAGGCAGAGCATCTTTGATTGGCTCCCAGACTCAGGGTATAAGTGTATTACATAACAGGGTTGGCAGACACAGGGAGGACGGACCGCGAGACTCACTCGGTGCGTCGGAAAGAGAAGCCTCTTTCTGGAATACAGCACCTTGTTACTTGACATTTCAGCTCGGCTCTTGCGGAGGACCATCACCTCGACTGCTGCCAAAAGGGATTCAATTATCATGATTGTATGAGCCGGACTTCTCCATGCATACACTCTCTGAACAGTTACATGCCACAAACATGGTAAGGCTGGCTAAAGGCGTGTTAGTGTGTGTGTGTGTGTGTGTGAGAGAGTGTGTGTGTTTGCTCAGGGATGCTATAGGTGCTTTGCTGCAGCTGTGCTATGGCTAGAGACAGAGGAGGATGTTGGAATGCAGTGGATCTGCCAGTGCAGTGAATGCTGATGTGTTGCGCTGCAAAGATGATATAAGCAAGTCAATCTGCTTTTTATTCCAACATGTTTCCTTGTCAGGCTCCACGTCTGTGCTTGAGCAGGAAACAGAAGGCTTTGTCACATATGTCTCTGTATAGGGGGTAGATTTCTCTGCATTCATTTGCATTGACCCATATACAGGTTTTGCGGGCTGCTTAGCCCTCTGATCTTTGATGTTGTAACTGCAGTGTAACCATAACGATGACATAGGTCATTACAGCTGCTAGACACACAAGTAATGAGTATGATGAGCAAGACCTCCCTGTGTTTGTGTCTGTGTGTTTACTGTATGCCATTTGATCAAGCTAGGTATGAGGCTGTGCTAAGGCAGGAACGGGGAAGATTGATTATGTAATGCTTTTAATTTATTCAGACATGTAGAGGGAAAAAGGGATGCAATATATTGGAGAGGGCAGTGCTGATCTCATTAGGGAGATGGAGGGATGAGGGGGAAGGAGAGAACTGAGAAGGGAGGAACATTGGCTGTGAATGGATCTCTATCTCTCTCTCCTTTGCTCTTTCTGTCTGTTGCCTGTATTACAGCAGATTGATGGGGACTGGAGAGATTGTGCTTGTAGTTGAATGGGGCTGAAAATGGAGTGGAGCTGGAGGGGAGGACGAGGGGGGCGGGAGGGCAAGAAGCAAGACTGACCTCAGTGCCAAGGCTCATCTGCTCTACGGTGCCGTTTCAGGCGGAGGTCCTGGTGTCAGATGGTGACGGTCAAGTAGAACTGATTTAACTTCCGCGAGTTATTCCTGCTCGTGTGCAGGTGATTTAAATCAAATTCCTTTTCCTGAATCAACAATGATTTTTTAATGTTTTTGAGCACTATTCATTGGTCCTGTTTCCATGGCAGCCTGACACATGTTTTTGCGGTAATCCTCCTCTCTTCCTGTAGTGGAGGCTACAGCTATTTTTACCCCAGCTCCCGGTCCTAAGTGATGCCTAATTAAATAGACGTGCTCAATGACATCTTTCATCTGAAAGCTATCCGGCCTATGTTATGTGCATTTGCATTTTACATTGACATGGAAATGATCGCGTTTCATGCAGAGCGATACGGCAGTTGCTCGGTGGTCACCCTTTGTGTGTGTGGCTACTCAGACATTCCTAAAATTGGAAATATTCAGGTGCATCCTGAAGTGTCCTTGCCTCATCCCATCATCTTGTCAATACCAGTGAAGCATCCTCATCTGTCACCATGACGACAGCTGTTCTCTCCCTTCCAGGCGTGGACATCCCTCCATGTGTTCACTTCTCTGCCCTGATTGGCTTATATCCCCTATAGCTGTCTCAGTAAGCCATCAGGGGAGTGGGCTTGTCTACAGGTTGAAGGGCCAAAGTAGCTGCTGAGTCTGAGTGCTTAGATCCTCATGGGGGGTTTGGCTGGATGCAAACAAACAAACACACACACACACACACAATCTGCAGTTTCTTGTGGACGTTCTCGCAAACGCACCGCATCAGCAGGAAGGTAGAATCGCATTTTTTTTTTTTGTGCCAGAATGATGAAGTGGATTTTATAAAAGGCAAAAAAAAAAAAAATCTTAAATGATTAAAGGGAGGGGGGGGAAAAAAGACAATTAGCTTAATTTAGAAAATAACAGGGGCTTGATTTGATTATGCAAATGCCTTAATACAAGTAAGGAACTAATTTTGTATCCATCCCTGTCTCCAGGCCTTTGATAATTCCTTACCTAGAGCCTAAGCATCTCCTGTCAGGCTTGGTTAGCGCTGCTCTGCCCACAGCCCCAGGGACTGGATGCATGGTTAGCTCTGGACTGGAGAATGCTGATGAATACTACTGTGGAGAGAACAATTGGAACAAACAGTTGGATCCGTGCCACAGATGCATACACCGGTTCAATGCATACAAAGTTGGAAGTGTGGCCGCACGTATGCATGGGTGTGCACTTCTGGAGGCGACAAAGCTCAGTCGTCGGGAGTGATGGATGGCGAGGCTGTAGATTGATGATGTCAGATTCGGGTCCGTCTCAAGAACATTGTCTCCTGCCTCTTGTCCTTTAATGAGAACAACCTTTAGCCTCTTTAAATCCCCTAAAGAATACTGATCACCTGACCGGCTGCCGTGCCCTCGCTACACCCAGTCGATGCGCTCGTGTACGCAAGTGTACAGTTTAAACATTTATTTTTCGGCGTCTCATAATGTCCACATTATTTATTCATGATTTTGAAATCAATAGAAAAGATTTGATGAGTCATCCTTCCATGTTTCGTGGAAGACAGTGCTGCAGATAAAATAACAAGCCCCGGTGACAGCATGAAGGAAAGGAGATTATCCCTTCACATTTGTTTGCTCCTCAGCATTTATATTACATTAACACATGTAATTATTCTAATGTCATAATGGGCCAATTACCGTCCCTGTGTGGAGACTGGTGCTGTGCTTCTGAGCGCTGTGTGTTGTTTCTCCACTAATGGCTCTGCCTTTTTTGTGTTTTTGTATTTTGTTGTGTTGTACTATGGTCCATGTTGGCTATTGTGTTGTTCTATTTGCAATGCAATCCCTAAGCTGCCAGTGGGCTCTGGCTTTGAGGGTGTGTATTTGCATCCATTAGTAATCTGAGTGGGTTTAACAACAAGGATTCACACAAGCTGAGGCCAAAATGAGGCGTATTACTGTAGTACAGTCAGCTTCAAATTTGATTTCAGATGACGTGTCTGTGTACTGTATTGACCAGTGTCTGCTGTTCATTCTTGTTTCGGTGGTGTTTCCAGAGGGGTGGCTTCATGTGACAAGAATAAAACATAGGATGTACACTGTCTCTCCCTCTCGTTTCCTCAGTTGATAAGTGGAGGGTCAATCGTCAACGCTGAGGCGGTATGGGACCATGTGACCATGGCGGACCGGGAGTTGGCGTTTAAGGCCGGTGACGTCATCAAGGTTCTGGACGCCTCCAACAAGGACTGGTGGTGGGGCCAGATTGATGAGGAGGAAGGATGGTTCCCTGCCAGCTTCGTACGGGTGAGTTAGCTGCAGCCATGGCTGGCCAGCGACCATAGACACAACAGACTCCCACGCACAAACAAAAATGGAGGCACATGGACATATGCACACGGACTGGAAGGTACTCATGCACAATTGTTCTGCCACATACACGGACTCACAGTCTCGAAACACACCCGTTGATGTGCTTGCTCCAGTTAAATAATGCTTTATTTGAATAATATATAACGCTCAGGAGATGAGAGAACAGCTAGCTAAGTGCCTTTATCGGGTGTTTAGGGACAACGAAACAAAGATGCTGACGAGCCCCTTCTGTTTTCGTTTGGCATCTCCTTCAGCTGCCAGCCTTAAAATCCAGTTAAATTAACAACAACCTCACATTAAAATTGTGATTATATAATTTACCGGTTTTGTAGGTCATGTAAAACCCAAACTGTATGAACACACCTGTGTGATGCAGCTACTGCATGTTATTCCTTGCTTTTTTAACTTCTAATTTCTTTTAATTGTACTACTGTTGGCTGCTGGACCTTGACTGTTTGACACCAAAATGTGGCTTTTAAATATTCTGGTGAACGTAGAAAATTTCTCCAATTGAAGACACATCTGCTGTGTGTATGATTTTTCACAAACCAGTTTGGAAGCCAGTCCTAAACTATTTAGAAACTTACAAACGTGTGATGTGATATTAAAATCAGCACATTAAACAAGAATTAACTTTCAGTAAAGAAGGACAAATCGTTCATCCATGAGTAAAACTTTTAAATTGGAAAAATATTTGCATATGCGTATAGATTCTAAAACGCTTAATGAGAAAGAAGGTGTAGGTAGTTTAAACTTTTTATGCAAAATTGCATCAGTCAGAAATGATTACCTAAAGCAGAGTGCTTTTGTAGACCTTTGAGCATGTCTGGAGTGGATTTTTATTCAAATTAAAGAGCAATTAGCATCCTTGGTGTAGGCAGAGGCTTCCCACTTCCCCCTTTCCCCCCTCTTCCTCCCAGACACTTCTCATGGCCATTCCCACCTGTCCACCCTTCCATATTCACTCCTGAGAGGGCAGGGCAGACAGGCTGACTGACTGTCCACCAAAAAGTATCTTTCTGTTCTGTCATTCTCTCTCTCCAAGGTGGAACCCCACCCTCCTCAGCCCCAAACAAAACAGGTTTTCTATATCAACCCCATAGCAACTCCACGGTTCCAAAACACCACGTCAAAGGTGCGTTTTTTTCCCAGCTTCCATCTACCCATCCAGCCTGCCCGCCCACCCGCCCCCCCCGCTCCAGTCTGTCCACGCAACGTACCCTCGACATTACCAAACATTTAACGTACCCATGACGTTCTCACATCATTTCCTCAACGGGGTCGATAGAAAGGCAGAACTGATGAGTCAAAAGTAAAGATAATGTCAAATGTCTTCTTAATGGCCAGTGCTAAAAATTCTACAAATCTACCTAGTTTTGGGATAATTGCTCCTGCTAACATTCATGGTTATTTCTATTTCAAGTATGAATCATTTTTCTCAGTACTCTATTTACTATTGACTCTGACTATTTCTCAGTCTTAACGCTGCGCTACTAGTTCTCGTCTGCAGTCAGTGCTCTACCACCCGTCACTCTGCTTGTCTGTGGCGCTACATTTCTCATCTTGTGTTTGGCATTCTACCCGTCGGTTCTTTGATGTTCTCTTGGCAAACTGTGTGTCATCAGGTGTTGGCTGCTGGGCATCTGAAACCACGCTCACTTGGCCCTTTCTTATGAGCGAGAGTGGAATACACTATATATGTGGACCTCTTGTGTGAGAGTGTGTGTGTGTGTGTTGGCGAGTGCATGCTTGTGTGAGGAAATCACGAGGTGGTTGTGTGAGTGTATATGCATGCTTATGTGTAGGGGGGAGATTTTCTTTGAGTCACACACAGGGCCGAAGTTGGGCATTGAATATCCTCAGAATATCCTCAGTCTCAGAAAGAGGCTTTTTTTTTTGCACTCTGGAGTGTTTGGCAGTATGTTCCTCACCTTTTTATCATGCTGGACCAAGAGTCTTACTTACTGTCCAAACGACCAGAAACCCTCTAAATGAAGCTCTGTGTGTGTGAGATGTGTGTTCATGTACGTGGTTTGAGTGTGTGTGCGTGCATTCATACTGAGGAGTGACTGGTACTAGTTTCAAGTCAAAGATAGTGTGATAGTAACATCTATATATAAACCTATATGGGTCTGTTTACTACTAATTTACTAATACTTTTTTTTTTTCCATCAGATTTATACACTTAACACTTTAGAGTGCACATTTCTTACTCAAGTGTGTGTGTGTGGGTTTGTGTGAATGTATTTGTCCTCAGCTGTGGGTGAATCAGGAGGACGGTGGAGCGGAGCCAGCCGAGGGGACCAGCGAGGTGCAGAACGGGCACCTGGATCCAACCAATGACTGTCTGTGTCTGGGCTCACCCCTCCAAAACCGAGACCAGATGAGGGCTAACGTCATCAATGAGATCATGAGCACAGAGAGACACTACATCAAACACCTCAAGGACATCTGTGAGGTACTAAACATGTGCACGCATCCGCCAACACACACGTGCACGTACAGTAAACTGCTGTTCCAAGCTGCGCTTTAATACCTTCAGCGAGAGAGCAGGACAGGTAGTACAGCGGTAATAAAAAGCTGAATCAACCAAAACGCGTAAAAGAGAGGAAGCGGCCTTTTTGATGCTACACAAGGATCTAATATGTATTTGTAACACTCCCACATTCACACTTTGATTCCAGGCATATTTTTTCCTCCTGATTTCAAAACAGTCCAAAAATATTGCGCTTTTTGTTAAATACAAAACCACAATATGTCAGCTGTACACAGTTATCCTGGCAGTCCAGGAATTTGTCATTATATTATGAATCATGCTGAAGTGACAAGCTAGAATTCACACCTAATGAAATTAAACAAAAACCGTGCCATTTGTTGTATTTTTAGCGCGGCGAGCCTTTTAGAAAACCCTAAAGCATCATCCTGAATGTAAATCTGAATCTGAACATATGATTTAGAATCATTTAAATTTACATATATTACAAATACAATCTGCAAACAGTTGAATATATTAACAATGTAATTAAAAAACACATTTTCTAAAGCCTGAAAACAGCCAAGAGTAAGTGCAGAAATCTGGTTTCCTTTCAAGGTTGTTATGACATTTTTATGCAATAGTTGCCAAGAAAATACTGCCTACGCCAGCTTTAAATGATGGTTTCTGTCGAGTGTACTGTAAGTATGGGCCTGGATTTCCCTGACATTATGTCCGCAGTGTAATTTTTTTGCATATATTTCTGTATAGATGTGGAGATGTATTATAGATGTACACCACTGTTAATTCTATAAACAGCTTTATCCAAGTATGACAAAGTTATTCATGATTATTGTACCAGTTGTCAGTAAATTAGCAAGATGCTTTTAATACAGATGTATGTAATCTGGATACTTTTATCCAAAATCAAGGGAAGGCAGTTACACATGATAATTATTTCAGTAGAAACTGATATCTCTGGGAACAGGAGATAAGTGATCATAACGAGATAACATGCTGTTTTGTACAGCAATCTGTAGCCACTAGTTGTTTTTCCAGCTGATTCTATAAAACATATAGAGACAAAAATCACAAAAATGAAAGCTAGTTCAAATAAGATTGTTTCTGAAAAGCTGTTTGTCACCAGCAGTCGTGAACAGCGGTCATATGAAAATACAAAAACAATACAGAGCACCTTTTTTGCAGCACTTTGACTTTGGGTGGTTTCGAGTGCACATTTTTGCTTATCTAATCATCTCTCCTTAATCCTCTGTATACCCTCTGTTTGTTTTCCAGGTGAGGCGCAATGTTTAAAAATAGTTGCAATAAAGCGGAAATTTCACCTCCTCACCTTTACACTTCTCGCTAATGGAAGCATACAGCGTTTTCCACATTCGCAGTAGCGTGCACAGGCGAGACGTGCAGTGAAGCTGATGAATATCTGAGCTTTGAAATAGATACGAACAAGTCAGTCAGGGGGAAGATTTGTATTGTAGGATTTAGGAATGCTCAACGGATGTCAAAAATAGGTGGTAATAATTTCCTGATTGTTCGTAAAACTGCTCCATAGTAATGTCTGTGCTAGGTGACTATCAAAGAGGAGGTTTCCGATATTAGTGTACAATGCAAAATATACTAATTGACTTGTTTCAATTCATTCATTATTCGATAATTAAGAATATGTCACATATCTCAAATGTGAAATGACTTTTAGGTCTCATAGTTGGACTGAGCTGAATTCGAAGACGCCAAACAAAAAGGATCAGAGTTAGATTTTTGTGTATCATACAGCAGATCTTTTCACAAAGCGCCAAAGCTTCAGGATGCTTAATTAACCACAAGCAGCCGTGTTACAACTCAGGACCCGGTGCTCAATGTGAAAAACTTTTTACTCTGCTTGACGGTATCGTCCTTAAAAGCCTGACGGTAGTTGTATTGTTGCAGGGCTACTTGCGCCAGTGCAGGAAGCGTGTGGACATGTTTAATGACGACCAGCTGAAGGTCATCTTTGGAAACATCGAGGACATCTACCGCTTCCAGATGGGTTTTGTTAGAGATTTGGAGAAACAGTACAACACAGAGGAGCCCCACCTCTCTGAAATCGGGCCATGCTTTCTAGAACACGTGAGTATTTTCCTATAGTTTTTGGCACACTGTAATAAAAAAAAGATGATGGAAAAACAAACAGATGTAAACACACTGTCCAGCCAAGAGCAGCCATAATTGCTAATAGTTTTGATAGGCCTGTTATCACAAGATTCAAACTTAATTATCTTGTTATCTTGAGATAACATTTAAGCTGTGGAGATAATTAAGTCACCAGCAAACCGTTTATCTCAAGATAAGGAGTTAATTAAGTCATGATCTTGGGCTCGAATAAAAAAAAAGTTTAGAAACTGGAGCCATATCGGCAGTCCACTTCACAGCATCTTTTATTTCATCTATTAGCTATTATATCCTCTGATTGTGCTCCTCTCTACCCCCCTTTACACCACAGCAAGACGGTTTCTGGATCTATTCAGAATACTGTAACAACCACTTGGACGCCTGTATGGAGTTGAGCAAACTGATGAGGGATGGCAGGTACCAGCACTTCTTCGAGGCCTGTCGCCTCCTCCAGCAAATGATTGACATCGCCATAGACGGCTTCCTGCTCACCCCTGTCCAGAAAATCTGCAAATATCCACTCCAGCTAGCTGAGCTTCTTAAATACACCGCACAGGAGCACAGGTACTACACGCCGAGGAACAAGATCGCATTTAATCTGTTGAATGTTGTTATTGTTGTTTCGTAGTAACTCGTTTGTTTTCTAAAAAAGAACGCCGTTACTGATGCATCGTTTTGTTCCAGATGCATTGTGTTGCAATGCAGCTGTTGCAGGCTTTGGGTTTGTTATACTGAAGTGGTAATTATCCTCGCACAAGCCGAAACAAATGCTGTTTTGCACTGTTTTACCAGCTTTCTGTGAATGTTTTGGAAGAAAACATTTCATCAAGGAATCTGCTATTCATAAGCGAGTCGTGTCATCTTCGTCTCAACTCATCACCATAGGATCATTGCACAGAGCTGCGTTTATAAATAGATTGCAGATTAAATATGAATCGGGGGCTTTTCGCTGGCGCATATGCGAGAGTCAACACTCTCCACATGCCGCATGCAAAGCACAGAAGCGCAGTATACAATATAAACATTTGCAGATGAGCTCTCGTGCACTGACGAACGCGCGAGTATCCAGATGTGCAAACTCATGCGTGCAAACCCACAGAAACATGGTGTAAGTGATTCAGCGTGTCTCAGCCAGCTCCAGGTCATTCACAAACCACGCGTTCTCAGCCAGAGAGGGACAGGTGCCAGCTCTGCCAGCGAGGCCTGCCAGATCACAGTGTTTGACTGTTAGGAGCTGTGGAGAATCTGCCAGATATAGGCCCGTCTCTGTCGCACATGCACACACACACACATATTATCTTCCAAAGTGAGGATTGGATCCGTGGCACATCTAAGCCAGAGGGATAAATCCAGCTCAGTTAGCATAGACGCAGTCAGAGTTAACTGTGAATAGGGGAAAGTGGCTGATTAGAATTAAACAGCAGTGTGTTTCTTTGACTGCGTTCCAGCCGACTTACTGCTGTCACTTGAGTTTATAGCCCCTGTCTTTAATAGGCTACCTTGTATCATTCACTGCTGTAACGTTACATGTCTTTGAGTGGCCCACCTCCAAGAGCTATAATTTTACCCTTTAACACCCCGGACTAATTATGTTTACACTGTGTCTGCAGCGACTATCGATACGTGGCAGCGGCTCTGGCAGTAATGCGGAACGTCACTCAGCAGATCAACGAGAGGAAGAGGAGGCTGGAGAACATCGACAAGATCGCCCAGTGGCAAGCCTCGGTTCTGGACTGGGAGGTGTGTGTTTGTATATCATTTCTAAAAGCAACTATGCTTTCGTAATTCCCCAAATTACTCCCTAAATTCCCTAAATGTTTCTCTATTTAATTAAACTGCAAAGGACAGCTTGACTTTCAGACCTACACTTGTTACTAAATTAGATGACCGACTGTCAGACTCTAATAGAGGTATTAAAAAAAAAAGAAAAAAAGCTTCAAAATCCAGGAGGAGCTCAGATTAAACCCGCTGCTACCTCACACTGAGAGGAGCCAGATGAGGTGGTTCAGCCACCTGATAAGGATGCCCCTTGGGTGCATCCCTTTAGTGGTCCACCAGGCACGGCCAGCTGGGCGGAGGCCCTGAGGCCAAACCAGGACTCGCTGGAGGGATTATATCTCCCAGGAGGAGCTGGAGGAAATTGCTGGAGACAGGGAGGCCTGGGCGTCTCTTCTTCCCCTGTTGTTACCCCATCCTTGCATTGGACAGTGCATGTATGGATGCTCAACACTGCAAACAGCGTACGATAAACAGCTGTGCTTTATTATATGTTTCCGTAAAATAAATGTCCAAATTTTCCAAACTGGAGCTGATGACAGGGTTGTATTATCAGGTTTAATGTCTCAGACTTGCGAAAGCTCATTTAGATCCACAGAAGATATTATATTTACTGCATTTAGGGCTGATTTAGACTAACAATAATGAGTTTTTCTGTACCCAGAGAGTCCTTTGGATTTGTTTACTATTTATTTGTGTTCATGTCTAGGGGGATGATATCTTGGACAGGAGCTCGGAGCTCATCTACACTGGGGAGCTGTCATGGATCTATCAGCCGTATGGACGCAGCCAGCAGCGAGTCTTCTTCCTCTTTGATCACCAGCTGGTCCTCTGTAAGAAGGTAGGCGCTCTCTCACTCTCTCTCTCTCTCTGCTTTTTTTTGTTCAATTTCTTCCATTTATCTGAAGACTCAGTTGGCTGAAAACAAACTGATAAACTAAAAACGCATCCTCATTTTGTCTTCTTGAAAGTAGTCGTATCACATGGCTGGTGACAGAGATGCTTGAAGACAATGTGACCTCTTAGTCAAGAGCTGCAAATAGATTACATAATGTTGTATGAGACGCATCAGCCCTCAATGAAGAGGCGTTCAAATCCTCAGCACCTTTCACAAAATGGAGCTATGGTAGTTTGGGCTCTAATGCACCGAGGTTGTGCACTCCTGTCAGACAAATGTTCACGCTTGGCTAGACTCAGTACATGCACAGAGATGCAGACGCAAATGCAGACAGACACTTGGACGTACACTGAGGCTGAACACACACACACACACACGTACACACTGGAGAACAATAATTTTGTAACTGCACAAAGAAAAAAAACTCGCACATGTACATATATTGCCTTTTTTTTTTTCCTCTATCCCTCCTTCTGTCCTTATCCTCTTTCCTCGCTATCATAATTCAACATCTCTGGCACCAGAAATAACCTCCAGTATGTCTGCCATGTGTGTTTGCTGTTCTGGTCCTCTAACTAATGTCAGCTCCGAGACGCACTAAATTATAAATTCCAGTCTTTGTTGTACTCTCAGCACAACATGTGTAATGCCTCCTAACAGCCCTGCGGGTGTGTTAGGTGCACGCCGCATGTAGCCCTCCATCTTTTCCTCTCATCTCTACCTTATCAGCACAAAGATGCACATTTCCTTCTGCATGCTTATTAAAAAACGCCTGATCCGTTTGTTTTTTTTCCTTTTTTTTTCCCTACCTTCCTTGACCTTATAGTGTAACCGGATGTTCATTTTATCCTAAGGGAGAGGTCACGACAAGGACTTGCTGTTGCATGTGGCCATCTTGTTACTGCAAATTCTAAAGGTTACTTTGGTTATTTGTGCTTGATGTATTTTTATGGATGTGAAATGCAAAGCGCCCCATCCCTGTTCGATCTGTTATCTGAAGGGGAAAATCAATAATATCAGATCGCTATTTTTAGCTGTTCATCTGTGATGTTTATGTCCTTCTAATGCGTCTCCTACACTGTATGTGTCATAATTACTAATGGTGGAGACCAAAACAGCTGCAGAGTGAGTTACTACGGATGTTGATCATTAAATAATAATTTTCAAAGCTTCTCAAATGCAAATTGCTGCTTTGCTTAGTTATCTGTTATCATAAGCTGAGATATATTTAGATTATGGATTGTTGATTGGAGAAAACAACATTTTTTTAAGAGACTTTTTAATGTGTCTGGACATTTTTTGCTTTTGTCACGTTTTCACTCACTGTGAGCCCATTTTTCAGTGCAGTGTGAAGTTCTGCACCTCGATAAAAACAGAACAACCGAGGCTAAAAGCAGAGAGAACTAAAAAAAATAATAAAAAGGTTTTGATTATATGTTATATATTTCTGACTGACTGATTATTATTGTTGTATATATATGCTATATTGATTTTTTTTTTTTTTTTTTAAGTGAGCTTTTTACAATATTGAATTTCCCTTCTGAGATAAAGTATTTTTCATTTCATTTCATTTCATTTCATTTTGTGTAGAGTACTAAAGCTGTAATGCCATACATTATTTTTGAAAAGAAAAAAAAATGTTTATTTGATTATTCATGCTGCAAAAATTGAAAAAACCTGGAATTAATATTCAGTTGTTTTCCAAGTGCCAACAGGTGTTAGCAAAAAAAGGTGCCTTTACATACTCTAGATATTTTACTACTCACATTTTAAATTTGTTTTTGTACTTGTCTTCTATCTACACTGCCTGCAGTTCAGCCTGATTTTTTGTCGTGTGACTGTTGTTCACAGCTGAGACACTAGTGGATTGAGATGTACTAAGAAGTAGAGATTTTTCTTTGTTTTTTACAGAATACAATTAGTGCAAATGGTTTATTTTTGGCATTCTTTTTAATGAGACATGTAGAATAAAGGTGATTTTGATGAATTGGTTAGAACGCCATGTCACAGACAAGTAGTGCAAGCACAGTCAGAACTATTCTTTCTGTATGTACAGTTTGTAGCTGGGATAAATTGTGTAATGTTGGTGTTAGTTTTTTGTTTGTTTATTTGTTTTGCTTTTTTAAAGATAGCACTTCTTTCAAACCTGCCAGTGTTGGGATTCAGAGGGTTAATCACTGATCACAACAATGATTATGCAGCCAAACCACTTGCAAAAATGTATTAAAGAAAGAAAACAGAGTTGAATAGAGTGGAATAAACAGCTGTCTGACAAAAAAGCTGATTGAAAACTGAACATTGTGAGCTTTGCAGAGACTGAATTTATCACAATGTTGTTGTGTGATTATGCATTAGACCGCACTGCCTGACAAACTACTAAGTGTACATGCCGCTGCCAAGAGCAGATTTACTAAGAAATATGGCATTCTGCAATGTGTGGTGGAAGGTGTTTGTATGTTTGGGCAGCAGATGGAAAGGGTTGCATAAGACCGACTCGGAGGATACCGAGGGAAGGATGCTTGTTGACACCTCTAAGGTTCAGCGCACACACATACGCATACACAGTAACAGACATCTTTCTCTCCTCTCCGCCAGGATCTGATACGCCGGGACATCCTGTACTATAAAGGCCGCATCGACATGGATCGCTACGAGGTGCGGGACGCCATCGACGGGCGCGACGACGACTTCAACGTCAGCGTGAAGAACGCCTTCAAATTGTGCAACAAAGACAGTGAGGAGATCCACATCTTCCTGGCCAAGAAGCCGGAGGAGAAGATCCGCTGGCTCAGGGCCTTCCACGAGGAGAGGAAGATGGTGCAGGAGGACGAGAAAATCGGTTAGTCACACACCTCCCTGCACCTCCCTGTTTGGAAACCATTAGTTTCATTCAGCTGCATGTTGCCGCAGCTCACTGGAAGGGTAGAAGAAAACATGAGCTTTCCTGTGTACAATATTAAAACCGTAGTTGCTATGAAATGAGCATGATGATCAGGCGTTGGCTCTGATCAAAATGTAGAGGAGGTGATAAATTTGTATTTGAGGACACATTTATTAGGATTGGAGTAGATTTTGTGCTTTGAAACCTAAATGACGCTTCAGTAAAAGGCAAATTCTTCCAACTTACACGATCTGCAAGGCGTCTGTGCAACATCTGTCCAACCTACGATGTCGTTGTTGTTCAGGTTTCGAGATCTCTGAGTATCAGAAGCGACAGGCAGCCATGACAGTGAGAAAGGTGACCAAACAGAAAGGTGAGGCAACAAGAAGATATCAGGTGATTTCTCTTTTTTTTTTTTTTCCTCGCTGGTGTGCTCTGTCTTCTCATCGCTGTTTACTCTTCCTTTAACCTGCTCTCTTTTTATTTACTTTCTACGCCTTTTTTCAAACACATACTTTGTTTATGAATAGACCAGAGTTGTACTACGTAAGCTAGAAGAGTCAAGAGGATTCATGTCTTCTCGCTATTTTACCACCAATATTTTTCCTTTCGCGCTAAATGTCCGTCAGCCCGTACATGAGGACGACTTGATATGAGTTGTGAAGCAGCTGTTAAGCATCAATGAAAAGACAGAGGGCTGTTTGCATGAAGTATTGAGTTTAAAGGACGATACCAGCGTTCACGACATGCGGGTCTTGTGTCACGCTTGTCAAGACGCGATTTAACACCTCAGTCGACTGTTTGATTTCGTTTTCTTTTACTGAGTTAGGGTGGCTGTCGGTGCTTCCTTTTGCATTCACGCTGAAGGTAAAATCGCAGCTCGGTAGCCATTTTCCAATAATTGTTTCTTAATACATCTTGCGACACGTGGGACAGTGAGTCACAACTTGTATTGTGTTTTCGAGCACAATAGCACAACATGTCACCTTGAAGTTGTGAGAATCATGTCTCTTTCTTCAAATTTTCTTGATTTAATGTGTTTAACGCTACGTCAGCCCTTACCAACACCCGCCTGCTATCTCAGTAACAGAAGAGCACGTCGAACAAGTTGTTTCAGACGCTACTCTCCGACGGCACCAAAGACAGAAAACCCGCAGATCCCAACCGCTGGTATCGTCCTTTAAGATTTAGCCATTTTAGTGCTAGGCTAGATGTTTGTACATTTACCATTACTGATGTTCTTGCCAGTTTCACAATAAGCATGACCATCCATTAAGGTATTAATGAACTAATGACGACTGCTGGAATGTTCTCTCTGACGTTAGGATCCCTGTAGATGTCTGTCAGAAGTAAATGTTGTGTGTTTCTAAGTGCTGTATGTGTACATGGCTGGCACAAGGTGAAGTACTCTCTTGAATTTCAGATTCATTTATAGATTTCATCTTGAGAAAGAGGGCCATGTTGTATGGACATGGTTTGAGAATGATAAAGGTATATGCATTAGAGTTCTCCTTAGAGCTAGCACAATAAGATGCCATGGCAACTGCTAAGCAGCATTGGGAGGTGTTGTGTTTAACGTTGGCATTGGAGCATGCAGTCACTGTCCAATCTGTTTACAAGCATTATCTTGACTATCCAAGATAAACAGGTTCCACTAACGCAAATAGACTGAACCCTTCTAACTGCTAAAACAGTGTTTGGCAAAATACGTGTAACAAAAAGACACTGTTTCCCATCTTTTCATACTTTTTTTTCCTAAGATGCCATGGCAACTTTTGAATATTTCATCTCCAAATATTGATTGTATCTCTTTCTTAATTACACTAGCATAGTTGTGATGCTTGTAGACTGTAGCTAAACGACATTGTAGACCGTAGTTAAATGCATATTAACAGCTTTCTGTTGGCTCTATTTTCGCCACTCTTGTGTTCTCAAGTGTCGAGGGTGCTATTCAAACAAATGCGCTGTTAACAAACATGGAAGAACAGTGTCCCGTGTCCAAATGCCTGGTTTCCTCATTGTATCAGACGTAATCTGTCGGTTCTCTTGTTTGCCTGCTACAGAATTTGATTGAATAGCATCTTTAGTCTCCCTTGTGTCATTGCAAGAGCTGAATTCCACTTTTATTCTAAATTCAGCTTTCATATCATACTGTACCATGTCTCAGGATTAATATGCAGGAATGTTAGCACTGAAGGCTCATTTTGTATGTCTACGTGCCTGGTTTTTTTTTCGTGGACGCATGACTTGATGTTGTGTTGTTGTGCCTGTTCCTGATACAATACTGATGATGTTTCCTCTTTGCTATCCACCTCCCTTCTTTTTTTTCTCTTTTGCTTTGTGCCCTGCACTGCCTTCTCGCCCCCTTTTCCCCCCCTACACCTACCCTCTTGCTCTTTTTGCACCTGCCTTCTTAGGTGTAAACAGGTGCACGCCCCCCTCATACCCGCCCCCCCAGGACCCCCTCAGTGCGGGGCAGTATGAGGTAACGGAGGACATGGCACAAGGAGAGGTTTTTGAATTCAGTCAATCCAAAAGAGGCCAGGCTCCTTTCTGGCAGAATTTTAGTAGATTAGCTCCATTTAAGAAATAGAGATTCACAGACTCTTCTGAAGGACCAGCTATTTTTCTTAGAAGCACTAAACACTGGATGATCATGTCCCATGATGAAGAAAAATACGAAAAACACACATACACAAGAGACTTCGAAGTTAAGGACCAATGTTAATATAGGGTGTGATTGGAAGCAGCGAGAGGACTGAAGACTTGGATTTAAAAAATCGAGAAAAAAAAAAATACAACTTTACAATTCATATATGTTAGTAACGTTCTTAGTTATCACGCTTCTCCAGCCGAGTCAACTGTCATGAACTCTTTCCCTTTGGATTCTGCATACTCATCTGAATGTCCTGGAGTTGTTGAGATTGTTTTTTGATTTCATTTATGATCCATCGCATCTGGAGAGAATCACGAGGTCGCGCCGGGTCATTCCTAGTTCTGTGATTGTGTCCAGAAAAAGCTGAGATCTTGCTGTGCTGCTATGTGAGATTGTTTGTTGCATTCTTCTGAATGTGAGATTGAATCAACGACGACCTCGGCTACCGGCCGCGGCGAGTGAAGGACCCGCCGAGCTCGACTGTCAGCGTCGCCTTCCGAGTTAGATCCATCCCGCCGCTGATCACAGGACCGATCAGACCATCTCCGCTCTACTGATGTCTGCATCCGGATCTCCTCCACAGTCCTCTCTCTCTCTCTCTAGCCGCTCTCTTCGCAAAGTCTGACGTCTCAGCGTTTCCCCGCATCCCTCTTGTTCCCTCCGTATCTCTCCATCCACCTGCTCGGCCCTCTGTGAGTCAGCGGCTCTCAGAGGAAGAGGTTCATTCCTTTGGACACCTGCCATTGGCCATGATATGATGGGTCAGGCAACAAATCAATAGTCTGAACATCAATAGAATATTTACATCCTTTCACCAACCGCTTGTGACAGGGTATTCATATTCGATCACGCCGAGGGTCTGTGCGTCGCATTTGACGGAGAGCTTGCCGCTCAGATGAAACAGCTGGGAGCAGGAGATAGGCAGGCTATGGTCCACCTGCCTTGTTTCGCAGTCCCTCCCCTCTATCCCACCCAAACCCCCCATCCCCAATCTCCCCAGAGACCACCCCTGTAGCACTGTGCTGGCAGCTCACTGGGTGTTTGGAAAGAGCACAGCCTACCTCTGGAAATGAGTGCTAAAAAGTGAAGTTGATGCATTGGCCAAGGTCTAAAATAATTTTTTTTTTTTTTGGTGTCAGCTGTAAAAGAAGACTTCTTCAGTTAACTTAATGATTTGCTCACACTGTAAAAAGCACAGCACATATTCAGCCTGAATACTTTTTTGTTTTTTCTCTCATTTTGAGTACGAGCGATACAAATATGCAATGCTACAGTGTGAGGAACCAGTAGGAACCCTATCCAGCACAGGGGGAAACGGTCAGAAAACGGAATATGGGAAGTGGACAACATTCTGAGTCAGTACTGGCAAAAAAAAAAAAAAGTCCACTGCAGTAGTGTGAGCTGATACCGCAGGGAGGCAGAAAGGTGAATTTAATCTGTAGCATGCAGGTGTCCTCTGACAGATTCATGCATCTCTAAAGACTGAAGCTTCCACAATCTTGGCTCTCGGCCCCGCGTCACGTTGTTTTCCAGATCTGATCCATGTTCTGGCAGTTAGCTCCGGCACCATTAAGCGATTCACAAAGGACTGTGGCCCGATCAGATTGATTTGTTTAATCAACAAAGCCCCACCTCCCCGAAGCTGCTGCGTGCGTGTGAGAGATCCCGCCACAGAGTCCTTCAGTTAGAAAAGCAGAAGATCCGAAGAACTGAGGAGAAAACTACCGATTTACACATGAAGGTGTTCTTTTCTACACTTGGAATGTAAGTGAAACATCTGTCCACGGTTTGTGATCATACTTTGACCTCAGATACAGATTTGTTTTGGGTTTTTTTGTGTTGAATTATCACCTGATGGACAGTACATATACAGTATGACAACTTGTGCAATGTGATATATCATTATATATCTTCACTATTCACTACAACGTGATATGAAAGAGTTATATATTGTTCTATGTCATTTGTTTGCCTTCTTATAGGCCTTATAACCTATTGGAGAGAAAAAAAAGACTAGAAAATTGCTTTGTATGTTGTGTAATTTATGTTCTGTTTCAGTAAAGAAAAGTTGAGAAACGGGTGAGTTGGCTGCTGGTGTCTGTAGAGATGGCTCCCAGTGAGATTGTTTTGGAAGATAATTCTCTTGTCTGGCACAGCAAAAAGATATGGTTCCCAGGCCATGATAACCTCAGGTCCCGTGCTACGCCCACCCCCATCTCCCCCCACACTCCTCCTCCTCCTCCCACCTCCTCCCACCTCCCCTCACCGCACACACACCTCCCTATTCAACACTACCGCCAGTACCGACGCACAGACACAAGCATGCAGGCGAACACACACACAAACACTGACGACACATAATCATGCGCACTTGCTGGCCCGTTCTGCTGCGGAGAAGAGAGATGCTATCTAACAGTGCCTTCCAGCATTCCACTAGTGATTATCTATTCAGTTTCACAGGCAGATTTGAATTAGTCATGTATTTTCCCTTCAGTGCATCTCTCACTCTCTTCCTTTTCTCTCTCCGTCTCTCATGCACGCCGGGAATTCCTGGTTCCCCCGGTGCATGAGATCCACTCGGACAGAAACTTTAGAGGTCAGGCCTTTTCCATATGAGTAGATATACTGTGCTGTCTGACTGAAACACCTAAAAAAAAACAACACACCTTTATTATATTCTATCACACTTACATAGCAGCAATTTTATTGCACAAGAAGAATTCTGATTTCAGATGTTTAGAAACTGCATAGAGTTCATTTATTGTTATCTATTTAACATACTAAAGACGGTTTAATTTGAGTATATCGTAGGAAACAGAGTTTTCATTAGTCGACTTAGGTTTCACATTTCGAAGTATATTATTAACAGCGAGTTATGAATCAAAAGAAGAATCATCTATTTTACCTTTATCAGCTACACACTGTAAATACTGTACAAAGAACAGATCATATATTTGGATATTGGTATTTTGCGTTGGAGACGAATGTTGTTCCAGTTCTAGCGTGCGGTAGACCTCAGTACCAGGTAAATGCATGCTTGTGGCATCCAATATTTTGCATGAGACTTAAGGCAACTCTTAACAGATTGTTTAGTTTCATTTAACTTCCAATTGAATTTTCTTTTTTTTTCTTTTTTTTCTTTCTTTCTTTTTTTTTTTAAATCTTTCCACAACGCGGAACCATTCATTTGTTCAACCCATACCATCTCACTAACGGGAGTTCTTTTCTCTGTCCACCTGTCTCCTGCTCACTTACACATTACAGGTTGTAGCTTCTGTTTTTTTTTTTTATTTATTGACAAGTGGAGGGGAGCATCTTCTCCTCACGCTGAATCAAAGACTGAACTGTTGATAGGTGAAATGAAAGGCACTGATGTTCTCTTTGCCCAGATAAAATGGGTACTATAAACTGTAACATTATTTTAAACCTTATAGCTATATTTTTTCTTTTCTTTTCTTTAAGTCCAACCTACACTGTCATGCTCCAGACTTGCTGGTAATGTTTCTCTGGAACACCATTATCTGCGGAGGCAAAACGGGTATAATTTTTCTATGACAACAGTGAACCAAATAGGAGTTAGCACTGATCATGGGTGTTTGTGTATAGATTTGTAGTCAAGCAGAAGAGCTGAATAAATTCGAGAAAAAAAAAAAAAACCTCTCGGGATGAGCTAAAAATAAACATAATCCTGAAGACACATACACACAGTACTTCATTGCAATTCATATCATGCTCTTGTTTCTACTTAAGAAATGATTCTTTGAAGTACAATGACTTGACATCGCAAATTGATTCCTCACTTGTATTTATTGACGGCAGCATTACAACGTGGCCACGCTGTTTAAAGGGTGTGTATATATTTGGTTAGATTTTTTTTTCTTATATAATTATGACCTTGTAACGGGGAGCTGAGAGGACAGCCTTCTGTGCAGCTGATTTTTTTTTTTTTTTTTCGCCCCTCTCTTTCCGGTCATGTAACCAAGACAGCCAAGTTAGCAGCCTGTCAACCCCGAATGCACCAGAGGTTGCTCAGATTTCTGTTATTCCTTTTTTTTAGTCCAGGGTCTAGTTCACTCATATTTAAGCGACATCTTCAGTAGGAACTCCTTGCAGGTGGTCACGCAGTCCTGTGTTGTTTCAGAATAGTCAGGGTACAAGTCTTCAATGAGCCATAATGTGGTTATTTTTTTTCAGCGACAACAAGGTTAACAGAAGACTGACATCCCACATTTGACAACTATTCATTGTATATTACCATCTAGTTCCAGGTCTGGATTTTTTTTTCCTATCACAGAACAATTTACTCACGGTATCCACATCCTTTTGTCACCATATGCAAACATTTTGTCATTTTCTTTCTTGCTGGCCTTTTTTTTTTGAGTTCGATTATTTGTTGTAGAAATGAAAAACCTGAAAAATAATGCCTATTCAATCCAGAAACTGTGAATGGGAGAGTGGAGATGTTAACTGTATGTACATTATATGTTTTGATGTAATCAGAAGCACTGGGAATATGTTGTACTTCGCTGTAAAAAATAAATCCATATCTGATATAGCTGTACTTTTGTTGAAAATAAAACCTCTACAGAACTGCGTGTCGAGGCGTCAATGTGCGAGTGAGGGCATTGTGCTGGGTTTCCTGTCGTGTGATATCATCTCCTGTTTGTGGGAGTCCGTTCCCAACAGCTGACACACTGACTCCTGGAGGCATTACAAAGGGGGAGAATTTTTTTTCTAAGGCAATAAGATAAATAACTTTATCAGTACGGCGTTCACAAGTTGCAATATCAACAAACTTCTGACCACAAATTGTAGCCTGCAAGTAACTATGCCGTAATCAATAAGTAATGAGAGTTATGCAAATGTGTGCTCCCAGTTGGCTGTGCTGAAGTGTAGGCTGTTCACTCTGCTTCCTGATGTTTTGAAGTCCAAAGATGCAAGACTGTTTTTTCAGGAGAGATCTAAGACTTCCTGGTGTAGCGCAGACAGCTTGTGTGTGTGTGTGTTGTATGTCTGGATGTCTAAATTACTGTAGGGAGATTACTTCTTTGTTGTTGTTGTTGTTGTTTAATGTCACATGTAAAAGTGAAAAAAGGATAGAAGTGATCAAAATTGCCAACAGGAAGACTTGATTTTGTACCAGCACAATGCGCAGTGTTACTGTGGTCTCTAGTGGCGAGCCTCGGTGTTACAACCTCCGAGGACGGGGCACATTTTCCAACATGGAGTCCTTCAGGGTGATCCTTTTTCTTTGTTGGTAGAAGACGTGTCTATAATAGAGCTGTAAAAAAAAAAAAACTCTATGTAAACTTTTTATTACACACTAAAAGCGGTCCTTTATCTTGTCCTGGTTGTGGGAAGATATGGAAAATGTAGAAATTAGTCATCCTGACATGAGCGCTGATGTAGAAAAAAAAAAAAAAAAGATAAGATAAGAAAAACAGGCACCGGCCGTGTAATCTGATGCCAGCTCGAGCGTCACATGACTTCAGAGGTGTCATGCTTCAAGTAGTTCCTCAGGATCAGAGGAATGTCCAATCTGTCAATTGCGGGCTCTTTGTGCGCAAACGGGAGGTAGCTTCGAATTGCCAGTCGAGTCTGTGACATCAGTGTTTTGGGGCAAACTGGTGCAGAAACAGAAATGACAAAAAAAAAAAGAAGATGAAAGATTTGTAAATGTAAGCATCTATCACAGGGGTGTCCAGTCCTGGTCCTGGAGGGCCACAGTCCAGCATGTTTTAGATGTTTCCAACACACCTGATTCAAATGATCAGCTCATCATCAAGCTCTGCAGAAGCCTGATAACGATCCTGATCATTAGAATCAGGTGAAACATCTAAAACATGCAGGATTGTGGCCCTCGAGGACCAGGATTGGACACCCCTGATCCATCACAATCAGTGCTGAATCTATCTGCTCATCAGCCTCACCTCTTTCCTTGAGCAGCAGAACCAGAGCTTCATTCTGCTTTGTGGTTTTGTCAATGATGAGCGTAGGCAGGTACACGTCCGCCCCAAAGTCTATAAGAAGCTGGATGTACTCCACCCCGCAGCCGTAACGGAGACACACCTCCAGAACTGTCTTTGGCTGCTTTATCCTGGCCAGCATCTTGTCGTCCGTGCAGTTGTAGTTGGGGTTGGCCCCGTGAAGGAGGAGCAGTTTAAAGCAGCCCAGGTGTCCGTACACAGCCGAGATGTAGAGGGGCCCTCTGCAGGCCGTGGCGTTGGAGGCCCACTCGGGGACTTTGGGTTTGACGTCCACCTCGGCCCCGAAGTGCAGCAGCTCCCTGAGCACGTCCACGTCGCCCTCTCGGGCCGCAGTCAGCACCGGGGAGCAGTTGTTGTACTGGCTGCCGTTGGGATCGGCTCCAGCCTTGAGCAGGGCGACCACGCAGTCCAGATGTTTCCCGCTGACAGCTGTGAACAGAGGCGTCTGGGCCTTCACATCCAAACTGTCAATCTGGATTTAAAAAAAGCAGCAGCATGTTTGAACAACAGGAAACACGATCTGGACAAATTATGTTTGTGGTAATACAAACCAGGACTCCAGTGATTTATCAGATGTGCACAGATGGGAATCACAATCACTGTGTTCAGATCAGAGACTCATAGTTGTTGGCTACGTGGTTCTTTTTTTCTTAAGCAAGGTGGTTGCATCACCCTTCAAAAGCATTACGTACATATGTCAGGGCACGAACGCATCACAGTACAGCTGTAGGGGGATGCATCAAAGTTCACCAGCGTTATGTAAGCGCGCCCCGTATCATCGTTCACACAATCTGACATTCACGGTTTTCCTTCGGTCCCTTCTAATCCCAGCTGTCACCTTGAGTCCACATGAGGTTGATAGTTCAGCATCATATTATCATTTAGAGCTGAAATGTTGATGATTTGCCTCCATGGCTCCCAAAGTCCTACAAAATGCTTTTAATGAGGAACTAATGTACTGTGAATCACTGACAATGGCGCCCGCCGGCCACCAGCGCGGGAGAGCCTGTTGCCAAAAGCCACTGATTCATCCATAGACAATGGTCATTTAGTGTTGTTGGTACACTTTGCAAATTTGTTGATAGAGATTTGCTCGGCCGTGCACGGAGCGTCGGGGCGGATTGTTGATGACAGACGGGTCGACAAACAGCCACAAGATGCTGAAAAGGTTCAGAAGAACTGGAGCTGGATCTGTGTGGGCTACTAGCTCTCACATTACACTTAACCATTTGATCCATAGTTCATATAAAAGTATTCATTAATGCAGCTTTAGTGCACAAAGTGTAAAAATGTAATGATCTCATTTCTTATACTTCATTTTAAATAAATGAAAAAGACCTAAAGGAACAATTTGGTAGTCTTTTTTTTTTTGGCTTTTACATGAAATGGCTGAGTGCAGTGTGTAATTTTAGTTGTTAAATAGGATACTTAAATCCATTACAACCACCAGCAGGCACAGCTGTGGCGTCCCTCCACACCCACTCTAAAATCCATCTCACCATCCCTGACTGCAAGCTGCACAACAACACACTCCCTCCTTCCTTCTCTCTTTGTCTCACCTCTGCACCGTGCTCCAGCAGCAACTCCAGGCATCTCAGGTGTCCCAGAGCGGCGGCAGTGCGCAAGGGGGTGACCGGGACCCCCCACCCGCTCCGAACGTTGATGCACTTCCTGTAATTCTCCTGAGACAGCAGCTCAGAGAGCAGGGTGACATTGTCGCCGCTCACGGCGTTGTTGAGGGCCTGACACTGCTCGTTGTCTTCATCCTCCTCCTTGGGCTGCAGCAGGGAGAAGATCTTGGAAATGTCCATCAAACTCATGTTGGCAGCTCGGCCCAGAACCATAATGTAACCCCAGGGCTAGCGCACGTCAAAACCCTTCCATCTGAAACGGCAGGGAGAGACGATAACACACCCGTACACCCTTGTCGTTTGAGGTGTTTTCGGTGGGATGGATTTTTTTGTTTTTTTGTTTCAACGCCGCACGAAAGTGTAGTCATAAATACTCTGACACAAACACCACAAATCAGTTTGTGTCAACAGCAGCAAATGACGGTAACGAGACACCTACCTCAGCCTGTTGATGGTGTTTCCAGAGATGTCAGAGGAGGCACTTTCAGAGCTCCATTATAGGGTCACATGGAGGAAAGAAAGAAAGAAAAGGTTCCTCCGAGGAGTGTGTGACGCTTCCACGGCGGCTATAAGTTGTGAAAACTGCTGTGTGTTTGTGTGTGTGTGTGTGCGTGCATGTGTGCGTTAAGCGGCCAGAGCTCCGTTCTGTGGGGGGTGTTCGGCGGCTAATTTTAGGCCACAGATGGGCCCGGCTAAACTTCCATTCTTGGAGGGTCGAGACTCAGGTTTATAATTAGAAAGGTGATGGAGCTGTGACACTCTGTGATTGGAGAGCGTGACTTTGTCGTTCCCTGAATCCGGAAAACTTTTTAATGTCACGGTTCAGTATGTGGCACATTTAGATACGAAGCCACAGCTGCATTTCTATATTTCCTGGTGTGAACAGAACAGCAAATAATTCATAAGAAAGGCAGTCAGTGTGTGCTGCATGTGTCCTGTTATCACCCCGCTTCCCTGATTCACACCGAGGCAGCCATTTCAGTAAGTGTCAGCTGCGTGACTGTCAGAAGCTTTAGAGGAGCAGCCAGTCAGCTGTTCCTCTGCCAAACCCACCCATGTTTTCATACTGTCCTACGTTTAGAGGGGAGGCTGAGACACACCACATTCTTTCAGCAGATGGCACAAGAGTCCAGACTCCTGGCACCGCGCAAACACATAATGAGGTCTTCCTCATTTCAGCGAGCACAAAGAAGTAGAGCAATTAAATGTGGACATCTAAGGGTCGCTTTCAATGCAAACTTCCTGAATCGGCTTCCAAAAACAGCGGCGAACTGAGATCACTCGGCGATTTCACGCTTCTTTTATGGCTCGTTTGTATCTAGCTGCTGTAACATGTAAATTTCTCCCAGTGAGGGATCAATAAAGTTTATTTTCTCTTGTGATTTCTGTGAAAATGACATTTTGACTGTGGGCAGCACAAGTAGCATCAACAACTCTTTTCAAGGGTTCTGGTAAGAAGTGAGAGTGAACCGTTATGAACCCTAAAACTAAACACTAATCTGATTATTAACCTCTGATTGTGTCCATCTATCATACATT